TGTTGTTTTACGCACTCGGCCGAGTGTGTCCTCGACTGAGGGTCTTGAGTTATTTTATGCACTCAACTGAGTGTGTCTTGGACCGAGGATCTTGTGTTGTTTTATGCACTCGACCGAGTGTGTCCTTAATCGAGGGTCTTGAGTTTATGCGCTCGTTAAACCTGAAAAACTTCTTGTATTATTATTCATTGGGGTGCCTCATTTAAAACCTTACTTAGCGAAAACCTTTTCATATTCTTTTACGGATAAAAAGCTAAGCACGAAAAAGAGTACACCAAAATCCAAGGTTTTTCAATTGTAATACATTTTCAAGTGTGTAGTATTCCATGTTCTTGGGATTAAGTTTCCATTTAATTCTTCTAGCTTGTATGCTCCATTTTTCAGGTTTTCATTAATTCTATATGGTTTATCCCAATTGGCCGAGAGCTTTCCTTATTTTGGATTCTTTCTTGCTTCCCATGTGCTTCTCCAAACTAAATCGCCTTTGTGATATTCTCAAGGTCTCACTCCCAAGTTAAATCTTATCATCATCCTTCTTTTGCATGCTTCAATTTTGATGAGGGTTTTATCCCTCCCTTCTTCTAATAAGTCAATTTCTATTTGTAAATCTTCTTATAATTATCCTTTTCATGAAAATAAACTCGTCTGTACAAGGGTTCTCCAATTTCTATCAGAATCATTTCATTATTCCCAAAAGTGAGTCTAAAAGGTGCTTCTTTCATTGAAGATTTTGGAGTACATCTATATGCCCATAGAATTTTAGGTAGTTGTTCTACCCATGCTCCTTTTGCCAGTCCCAATCTTTTTTTTAGTTCTGATAGTATGACTTTGTTAGCTAATTCTGTTTTTCTGTTTGATTGAGGGTGTTCTACCGAGGTGGTTTTATGCTTGATGTTTAAGTTCATTAGAAATTTGTTGAATCTTTTGTTAGTAAAATAAAGCCCGTTATCAGTGATTATAGCGTAAGGTATTCCAAATCGTGTTAATATATTTTTCCATGTGAACCTCTGGATGTTTGGTTCTGATATGGTTGTTAGTGGTTCTACTTCTATCCATTTTGTGAATAAATCAACAGCTACAATGAGGAATTTCAGTTGTCCTTTGGTCATGAGGAATGGATTGAGGATGTCCATTCCCCACATAGCAAATGGCCATAGGGAGCTTATACCGTGTAGCTCTTTAGCAGGTTTTCTGATGATATTGCCATGTTGTTGACATGGTTTGCATTTTTTAACAAAGTCTTCACAATCCTTCTTTAATGTCGGCTAGAAATATCCTTCCCTTAAAATTTTTGTTGCAGTCATTCTCGCTCCCGTGTGAAAACCATATATTCCTTCGTGTACTTCTCTCAACACATAATTAGATTGTTCGGTCATCAAACATTTGAGCAGGGGTAACGAAAATCCTCGTCTATAAAATTCTCCTATTCTCAATTTCTTAGCGTGCAACGGATCTTATGGTAATATGCCTTTGTTCATATAGTTCAAAATATCCTCGATCCATCCTTTTTCTGAGGTCTCAACTTGGTAGCATACCTTTGTTTCTATACTTGGAATTTGTAGTTCTTGTTGGAGCAAAGTGTTCAAATGCTCGGGTTTTCAACTGCTAGCCAATCTGGCCAATCTGTCTGCTCTCTCGTTGTCATTCCGAGGTATGTGTTGGATTTGTACATCTTCAAAGTTATCTTTCATTTTCTAAAAAAGATGAAAGTAGCTCAGTAGGTTTTTTTTTAATTTGGAATGTCCATTAATTTGATCTACTACTAATTTCGAGTCGGTGTGATATTTAATCTTTTGTACATTCATTTCTTTGGCCAACCGAAGGCCAACTATCAAATCTTCGTACTCAACCTAGTTATTGGATGTTTTAAATTGAACCGAATGGATTGCTCGATTGAACATTTATTCGGTCTTTCTAATATGATATCAGCCCCACTTCCTTGATTATTTAGGATCCATCTGTATGAAGGCTCTACCATACCAATTCAACTGTCTCTTTTGGATGTAATTCATTTACAAAATCATCTAAGACCTGTGCCCTGACTGGACCTCATGGTTCATAGCGAATGGAAAATTCTAATAGTTATATTGCCCATGCCATCATTCTTCTTGCTAACTCAAGTTTTTTAGGATTTTAGAAATAGAGCAATATGTCCTAACAACAATATTATGACTTTGAAAATATTGATGCAACCTCTTTCCTGCATAAACCAGGCTTGATGCTGCCTTTTCAATCAATTGATAACGGGTTTCGGCATTGTGTAAGGTTCGACTTATAAAGTATATTGGTTGTTGTTTGCCCTCTTCTTCTTGAACTACAGCTGCACTTACGGCCTCGTCAGAGACTGATAAGTACACAATGAGATCTTTGCTCATATCTGGCTTTGTTAATATTAGAGGGGAGGCTAAGGTTTCCTTTAGAGTTTGAAATGTTTCTTCACACTCTTCGGTCCACTAGAATTCCTTAATTTTTTTAAGTAGTTTCAGTATTGGTTTGGTTCTTTCCAATAACCTAGGAATAAACTGGGACAACGATGTGAGTCTCCCGATCAATTGTTGTACTTCCTTTATATTCTTTGGGTTCCTCATATCTAATATTGTTTGGCACTTGTCTGGGTTTGCCTATATACCTTTGGATGATAACATAAACACAAGGGATTTTCCTCCTTAAACACTAAAACCACATTTCTCGGGGTTGAGTCTCATCTTGTATTTTTTTATTTCATTGAATATTTCTTTTAAGTCTTTGATATGTTCCTTTACATTATTTGATTTCACCACCATATCATCTACATAGACCTCAACGTTTCTATCGATCTGCTTGTAGAATATTTTATCCATCATCCTCTAATAAGTTGCCCCTACGTTCTTGTCGTAACCGGGATCACGACGGGATGACGCTAACATTTTTATATTCAATGGAGCCGCCACCAATATTTTAATTTAAGGGAAAAATATTGGAAAACCCTTCCATCAATTTAACTAACCATTTATGTTGAAAAGTGGTAGTTAATCTCTGTTCTAACATATACTTGAGGCTCCTGTGATCAGTCCTGATAATAAAATGTCTATTTAACAAGTAGTGCCTCCATTTTTGGACAGCAAACATTACTTCCAATAACTCCTTTTCATATGTAGAGAGGGATTATTGTTGTTGATTCAAGGCTCTACTTATGAAAGCTATAGGGTGCATCTCCTGCATTAGCACAACTCCAATTCCAAACCCAGAAGCATCTACCTCCACCACAAAGGTTTTGGTAAAATCTGGCAATGCTAAAACTGGTGCTTGTACCAGTTTTGTTTTTAAGGATTGAAATGCCTCCTTTGCTTCTGAAGACCAACAAAACCCTTCTTTCTTCAACATATTAGTTAATGGTTTAGCTGTACTTCCATATCCCTTAACAAACCTTCTGTAATAGCCTGATAAACCCAAAAAACCTCTCAGTTGTTTAATGGATTGAGGCAGTGGCCAATTTTGGATTGCTACAATTTTGCTTGGTTTAGTTGCTACCGCCTCTCGAGATATATAATGTCCCAATTCTACCCTTGTAACTCCAAAATAGCATTTAGACCTCTTGGCAAACAATGAGTGTGCTCTCATGGTTGTCAAAACTTGCTGCAAGTGGCCAATATGGCTTTCTAAACTACTGTTGTAAATGAGTATATCATCAAAAAAAACTAGCAAAAACTTCCTCAAATAGTCTTTAAAGACCTCATTCATCAATCCTGAAAAGTGGCAGGAGCATTGGTGAGGCCAAAAGGCATTACCAAATACTCAAAATGGCCACTGTGTGTTTTAAAAGCAGTTTTATGGATATCAATAGGATCCATCCTCACCTGATTATAACCGGATCTCAAATCGATTTTGGAAAAAAATCACAGAGCCATACAACTCATCCAGAAGATCATCAACAAGTGGTATTGGAAATTGATCATTCACTGTATTCTTATTTAATTCCCTGTAGTCAACACACATTCGCCAAGAACCATTTTTCTTACCCACCAAAACAAACAGGACTTGGATAAGGACTATTACTAGGCTGAATGATACCTGACTTGAGTGACTCTTTCACCAATCTATCAATTTCATCTTTCTGTTGTTTAGCATATCTGTAAGGCCCTTTGTTCACTAGATTAGAGCCCTGCATTAATTGAATCTTGCGATCATATCCTAATCTCTTTGGAGGTAAGCTAGTTGGTTCATCAAATATATCAGCAAACTGACTTAGTAGTTCATCGATTGCTCTTGGTAATTCAGGTTGGTCAGCATGAGTTGTTAAAGAATGCAACAACCCTTTAGAAGCATTACCTACCTGTAAGACAAACAAATGAACACCTTTTTTAAGAGCTTTAGTCACCTGTTGTTTCCTTATAGTCTTAATATTGGTAGAAGAAGTACCTCGCAGCACATGCTTCTTGCCATTAACAGAAAATTCCATAGAGAGCTTGTCAAAATTCCAAATTATATCTCCCAATGTAACCAGCCACTCGATTTCCAAGACCAGGTCACAACAACCTAAAGGTAGTAACATCATGTCAAAACAAAAATTAGTATTCTGAATAGTCCAACCAAAGTTCTTAACCATTGAAGAAATTCTGACTTTAGTACCATCAGCCACAATAACATTCATAGTTTCCATTTGTTGTATCAAGCAACCTAATTTCTGAGCAACTTGAACATCAAGGAAATTGTGAGTACTACCACTATCTATAAGGATATGTAAGGGTTTTTTCTTATAATAGCCCGTAATTCGCATAGTTCTAAAACTAGCAATACCAGTCAGGGCATGTATAGAGATCTGAGGTTCAATCAAATCCTTTGGACTGTTCTCCACATCCACATCTTCATAAGTGTCAAATGACTCACCATCATCAATTTCCATGACATGAATTTGGAGTTTTTTATGGGTTAATCCATGTTCTGCGATAAAAGGTTCATCACAAAAGTAACATAGACCTTTAGCTCTTCTCTCACTCATATATGCGGGTGACAGGTTTCTAATGGTTTTGGCCTTCATAGGTGTGGATTCTGCAAGTTTAGGTGGATTGGATAGTATAGGTGGTTTAGAAGAAAATTGTGGTTTCTAGTTTTTCAGAATTGGTTTGAATTGAGGGTTATTTAAGGTAGAAGCTTCATACATTTTTGCAAGGGAAAATGTTTTTCTTACCGAATCAGGTTGGAACATTCTGACCATCATTTGGACATCTTGTTTTAACCCTCCCAAGAAACAACTTAATTGGTGTGCTTCAGATAATTCCACACGTGACACAATCGAATCGAATTCTTCATGATATTCTGTAATAGAACTTTTTTGTCTTAGCTTCATTAAGTCCACCATTGGATCCTCACAAATTTCCCCAAATCTATCAAGCAAGATTCGTGTATATTCCAGCCAAGAAGGTATATTTTCTAATCCTATAGTTTTCACATAAGCACTGTGCCATTGAAGTGCCTTTCCTTCGAAATGTACCACTGCTAACCTCACCTTATAATCTTCAGGTGTGTTGTCAACCGAAAAGAAAGTCTCACACTAGATTAACCATTGTTTAATCCCGTCGCCGTTAAATCTTGGTAAGTCTAAATGCGCCAATCTTGTATTGCAAGAATAAGAAGATTTCCCCCACGTATTGAACTTCTAGAATGAGAAGGTGGTGAGTTATCTTGTGTATGTTTTTTAAACAGTTCTTGCATGTTTTGGATCAAGGTTCGCTGCATCGATGTTGCAAGTTCCATGAATTTCTCTTCCATCTTGGTATTGATGCGCTCTTCAGCTTCGAACAGATGCTTGAATACGCGTTTTTTCTGCCATAGATGATTGCGAAGGAAGGAACCAAGCTAATACCAATTGCTATGATTAGTTCTAGGAATTATGGAATTAACCCGAAGAACTAAGAAGAACAGAGAACCCTGGAATAGAAAGAGTTCTGAGACAGTATGATTGATTCACAAGATTGGGAAATTTGTTTACAGAACTGATTAACCAATTCTGTATCAGACAGTTTTCTAATATACTAGTTGGTTTTCCCAACGAACTACTAACTACTAAAACACGGAACTTTGACCAAAATAATCCTCCTATTATTAACTATCCTCACTTAACTACCTGTAATTCCATCTAATTACAATTTGACCCGTATCACACTGTTTGTTTAATAACATCATATCAACCATCATATAATATATTGTTAGCCATGCTCAAGGTATATAGCAGGAAGAGGTGTAAGAGTGCTAATGATATTATAATGCCTACTGTGACTGAAAGTTTGAGAAGACCAGAAAGTTGACAATGTTGCTGCCGGCACACATGAACTACAGAAAAAAGGAGATTACGTAAAGTTTTGGGCTAACTTTGAGTGGAAAAAGGAAAAGAGGTTTACTGGTCCCTTGAAGTTTTCGAAAATGATAGCAGTTTAGTATCAGTTCCAAAGAGGGAAATTCTGGTTTAGTGAACATGATATCACTCATCTGATTCCAGTTTCTATCAGATATGCTTTTATGATTTCTTTTGATTTTATTTTCTGTGAATTCTGAATTTGATTTCATGGGTTTGTTCTTCTCTTGTAATCAGGAAAGAAATTTGGAGTAACAGACTTTGTCAATGCTGGAGAATGTGGGAACAAACCTGTGAGCCAGTTCTACCCTCTTGAGGGCATCAATTTTTAATCTTAATTTTTGTTGAAATTCCTTTCTTGTTTCTAGATATAACATGTTCTCTTTGCATGATATCACATGAAAATATTAAAAGAATTTTGTAAGTATTGTAATATATTCATGAGTTCAATATATATACTATTTGTCTTCTAAACTATATCCAAATGTGGCTGCTGAGCAGATTATCATAGAGAAAACTGGTACGGGAGCAGATTATTGCTTTGAATGTGTTGGTATGGCATCATTGATTCTTGAAGCATATGCTTCTTGTAGAATGGTACGTGTTACTCTCTCAAAGTTCCCAAACATCCTTGCACATTCATATATAGGCAAACAGTGATAATGTGACCTAATCTGTAACTAAATTATGATTTTGACTGATCACTACTTCACAAAGCTTGAAAGGCCACTTAAAGCAGTGAAGTCTTAGTTTGTGCCAACTAAATTGAAATTCTCTATTCTGTATGAAAAAGACTCTTTGCTTAAATAGGAACAGGCTTGATTCAACTTTGCCAATAATTTGAGCTCCACAAATCAATACTTCATGAAATCATAAGTTGAAAGCTGATGATTTTGCCTTCAGGGTTGGGGAAAAACAATTGTGTTAGGAGTGGACAGGCCAGGAGCCAAGATAAACCTCAATTCTCATGATGTCCTCCATGACGGGAAGAGCCTCATGGGATCCTTATTTGGAGGTCTCAAACCCAAGTCTCATGTACCCATTCTCCTTAAACGTTACGTAGATAAGGTACTGTATGCAATTTCTTATATTTTCATTTTTGAACTATGTTGTCTGGCTGTGTCCCATCAATATTGATGTATGTGTTAGACTAGTAGTAATACTTATGTAAGATTAGTATTAAACAAATAATGAAATATCAAATCATTTGGGACATTTCTAGTCTATTAACTTTTTTCCTCTTATATCAACAGGAGTTGTAGTTGGATGAATTTGTCACTCATGAGGTGGAGTTTAAAGACATCAATAAAGCTTTTGATTTATTGAGTAAAGGACAGTGTCTTTGATATGTGATTTGGAGGGATAAATGAGTACATTGTTATGTATTCCTAGCCCTTGAATAATATGCAACATGAAAAGTATTGGATCTTTTGTATTTGATTAAAACATTTTCAATAAAACAGGGCTCCTATCTTATTGCACTGCAAATGCACTTGAAGCACCAACAAAGTAACTAATAGGGGACAAAATGGTGACCCTTGTTGCTCCAAAGTGTTTTAGTCTGTATACTCCAGAAACTGCTTCATTTGGTATTTCCCATTCTATGGTAGCCAGGCCTTGATAGGAACTATTATCTACTTTCCACTTGAGAAACAAGCTTAAATCGTCATCATCATACACAGCAATCCATCTTTCCCCTTGAAGCCTCTCCACTGCTGCAAATGTGCCTTCTGTTAGAAGGTCATATCTTGGATTGGCACTCCAGAATGTAGCACATGATGTGTCTCCCTTCGTAAAATAGCCTTCCTTTGGAAAGGATATGTCTTCCTTTATGTCACCAAATTTGATTCCTTCTGGAGGTGAGTCTCCAAAGGGACCCAATAAGAGTTTTATTTGTACAGATGAGAGATCTGGTGGTGAAGGACCTTTCAAAGGGATGTTAATTCCTTCAACCATTGCTCGTGCTAGTTTCTTAAATTCTTGGATGTATGCTGATAATGTGTGAGGACCATACAATGTTGAAGCAGCCTGCAAATTACATTATTACTTATTAGCATTAATTTAGATCTAGTTTGTCTCAAAATTAAAGCCTGAAAGCTATGTGGTAGCATGTACTGCATGCTTATGACTGGTCTGGTATAAGGGAAGGGTAATAAAGAATGTAAGTGAATGTTAGCAAATGATTATTTTTTGGAAAAAATTTCTTTTCTTTTTTCTAAACAATTTTTGAATTATTTCTTTGAAATAAACTGAAGCAAAAACATTTGATTTTTCCAAGGTTTGATTAATCAGACATTTATTGGCTGAATTTAAGTTAGCTTCTTGCCTCTCCTAAAGTTAAATAAGATCGATATTCCATAACATCAATTGCTTTTGTCTAATATGGATATCTAATAAGTTTATAGAAACTTGATGATTTGGTATCCTCTTTTATTCAGCATACCTCATACCGTTGCTGCTTATATTCTTCAAAAGTAGCAATATATTGTGAGTAAGTATTTGTCAGTCCTGCTATAACCACATGTGTCTCATTATTGAATTCTCCATTGCTGCTTGATATTAATGTCTCCTTCACTGCCTCCCTTAGCCTTCTGCCAGCCATTGTTGTAAACTCTATAAAACTCAGGATTGGACCATGTGAGCATGTGTTTGTGTTTCTCTCTACTTAACAATTATGCAGATCATGATTTGATGGAGCCTTTATTCATATAAAAGAGAAATTCTTTTTTTTCCTATTCAATTTAAGATATGACATTGAAAAGAATACAAACCTCCTGGTACAGAAAGAATGATCAACTTGCCCAATCTGATGATTTGAATTGGAAGAATTGCTGGCTGTACCAACATCCAAAACTTTCTTGATTAGTACATTGCTATGCATATTGTTATCTTTGATTGCAAAACTATCTCATTAGCACTTAACTGTAGTCTTACCGCCCAAGGATAAGGATCAAACATTTCCCCAGTGCTCAACAAAACTTGCTTTGGGTTCTGGCAATCCACTTGATATTGACTTGGTTCTTTTAGTAAATCCCTCAAACCCTTCCAAAATGGATTAATCTGCACAAATGGATCGAAGTTAATAGCACTTAGGTAGAAAAATAAGCAAGAACATGATGCCAACACAAGAAAATGTTCTTGAATTTCCATCTCAGGTTTATTAATTGAACCTAAACGGGGAGGTTTCAAAGTGTTGCTAATTATACTTGGAAGGTGAGTTAACATATGTTTCTTCCTAAAGCCAATATACACATAACAACATCCACAAGAATATAATTAAATTTTTTCATATATTTTTAAAATATATACAATGTCAATTGATGTAGATTAACAAAGTATTAAATAATTTTTCATTAATATAAGATTTTATAGATAAAATTTATATAATAGAAATTTTCAATCCAATAGTGAATTTTTAAAAGTTATTTAATTATGTTGTTTTAACTAGCATTGGTCTCAGTCTTTTTACATACAAACAAGGCCCTCACATATGATATATCTCCTCAATGAGAATGTATATGGTGAAAAAAGCTATTTTTATATAAAAGTAAAAAAAAATCTTGGCCATATAATTATGCAAGGATCGTCAAGATCAAAAAGTATAAGTCACATAACCATCTGACTTTTTAAAAACTCAACTTTTTTGTTAAAATCTTGAAGATCAAATGGCTAATATTTGTTTGTCACTTTAACAAAACAAAAATAAGTCCTCTCATTTGATGTCTCCTGTGTGTGTTAGCCGCCCATATGAATTCACAATCTCGCAAAGCAAAAGTAAAGAGGGAAAACTGATGTTCCTCACTTCCCCATTGGTTTTAAATTACTTGAAACTTAGTAACCCATGAACATTGTGATTGAAAGATAGCCTGAAAATTATATTTTTGGTATTGGCTTCAAATGCTTTATATATAAATCCATCACTCCTAGGAAAAGTATTTGAATTGCAATGCAAGAAAATAAAAGGATTTACCTCTGTATCACCTTGTTGAAACCCAAAAGCACCTGGTCCATCTGTAGTTCCTGCTGCAAAACCAGGACCAAGTGCTGCAGGGCAAGTTTTCACCACCTTGTTGCTATCCAATTTAACTTCAATGTCTGTGAAGTTCAGGTACACATGACGATAGTCAATTTTCCCTACCAGTTCCCCTGAAGCAGACTCAAACAGTTCCACAGCAGTTTTGAACTGCCTTTCACCTATGATCTTTGTGCTTAATATTTCATCTGGGTATCTGCTCCATGCAAAATTATAAGCACTTCCTTTTCCACAACTACAAGCATAAGAAAGCACATACATAGCAAGGGAGACATACAATACAACACACGTACATCCGAATTTAGCAAATTTAAAAAAAGACAAAACTTAACTACAATACTATAGATATTATTCTCCAATCAATGGAATTTCACCTCAATAGTAAACATTTACATCTGATATGCAAATTTCAATAATATGTATTTACGTATATTATTGAGGTAAAACTTTTGCACCTGTCTAAGGGTTTCTAGTACAACTTCCATTCTGATTGAAAAACAACAAACAGTACCTATTATGGTGTACTTAAGTTTTTCCCTTTTAAAAATTATAAAATGTGATTTAATTGTAATATGTCCTTTTAAAATTTATAAGACGTGATTTAGTTGTTATAAAACATATAGAAATACTACTGACACTCTCGTACTAATCCTCTCTTTACTATTATTGAAAATCACAAATTTTGCTTTGGTTCAATGTTCAACTAGAAATATTTAAAGTATTCATGTAGTGTCTGACATGAATTTATTTTCAACACAAGTATGGCATGACAAGTTACTATTTAGAAGTTTGTGTTTTCATGAAAAACAAGCATTTATAGGCCTCATCTTTGATTAGAGAGACTTCTTGCATACCCGGGTCCCCTGCCAACACAAAGTTGGTCATTGCCATTGCATGAAGAATGGTTGAAGTCACAAGGTTTTCCATTATCGATGCAAAATGCTCCTAAAACATTTGGTGACACATCTCCAACATTTGATTGGCAAAATGCTCCAACAAATAAGGATCCATCATTCTTCCTCACCTTGGACGCTTGGCTTGCTTTTCGGTTGCAATCCTTTCCTCCTGTAGGCTTAATTGATCGTGCTATTTTCACTAGTTGTCTAATATCTGTATTAAAATCAATGTCAATCTTTTCATAAAATTAATAAACAGACATTAAGAGAAAATTTTATTGAAAGTTCAATATCCTTTGTCTCTAGTCACTCTAGGATCAGTAAAAAGTTTAGAGTTAAACCCTACTTTATGTTTACTAGTTAAAAGACAGACAATCCATGTCTTCTATATGTTGTTGAGTTTTTTAAATTAAAAATAAAAAAAATATTAAGAGATATATATAACTACTATAATTGAGAGGTGAGTTTCAAAATATAAAATTGTCTAAAAAATAATTGTGTATATTAAATATGGGTTTTTAATAACTGTGCATTGTCTGTGTTAGAAAATTTACACTCAATTAACTAGAAAATGCTTTTTTATGACTTTTAAAGTAATTAATAAAAAAGTTAATAAATTTATCATACACAGTTATTTGTAAAAGTATGACTTTGACCCATATAAATAATGACCCTTATAGACAAAATGCTAAGATGAAACATTTCACAAAGAAATTTTTACAAAAAATAATAATAATAATAATAATTAAGATGAGTCATTTCTCTTTAAAGTTAAAACAAGTAGTAATTTATATAAAAATGAGGCTTTGCAAATAGATATATATATATATATATATATATA